TCCTGCAGCTGAGGAACCTCTTGCAGATGAGGAACCTCCTGCAGCTGAGGAGCTTCCTGCCAGCTGGGTGCAGCTCCTCTCTGCATCAGACTGAGCAACCTCTGCTTCTCCCCCAGAAACCAACAATGACCGCAGTCAGGAGTCTTCGCCCTTCCAAGCAGCAGAACGGGGTGTCCGTGGCAGAGACGTGGACTGCGGACGATGTTTTCGATGAGTCGTACAGAGAAAAAGGAGGACCGCCGCCGCGGAGGGTTTTGGTGTGGAGGAACATCATCCTGATGTTGCTGCTGCACGTCGGCGCGCTCTATGGACTCACCCTCTTGCCCTCCGCCTCCCCTCTGACTCTCACATGGGGTGAGTCTGCGGGAAATATCAGCTACTGATGCTGTGAGGTCATGGATAAATACAGCCTAAGGCTCGAGCCGGAGTGGAAATAATAATAATGATGAATGAGTCATCCGGCCTGATTTTAACGTATTTTTCATTCAACCTTTATTTAGACAGGTAAATCCCATTGAGCCTCGAGGACTCATTTACAAGAGAGACTTGATTTCAACAAAGAATGATGACAACAATGGACAACAGCAACAACAATAAACAGTTATAAAAAGTCATACTACAGTTTTTTTTTTTTTTTACAATTAGGATGGCTAAAAGAAAAAGGTAACAAAAAACAGCTAGATTCTAAGGCGAATGTAGAAAACTAAAAACAGGAACATGTCTGCATTGGTTCCTGCCAGGAGTCCAACAAATTCTTAAAGCCACTTATAGAGGTCAAGGTCGAGAGCTTCAGATCTTTTTGTAAGATATTCCAGGAAATGTGTTCATCCACATCAGATCAGAGGGAACTTCTTTAGTCACCTTTGTGGAAACTCAATCCTCTGAGCAGCTCACCTGTAATAACAAGAAATGCACCTCAGTCAGTCCTTGGCTTTGCTCTGGCTGATTTATTATTATTATTATTATTATTATTATTACCTATGTATAGTTTTTGTATTTAAAACGTTAAAACTGAAGAATGATCTGTGAGCAAAAATCTCTTCCAACAATCTTTGAGCAGGCATTTCTTAAAGCTTTATTTGTTATGAAATATGAGTTTATCAAAAATGAACTCACTCCCCTGTTTAGGATTATTATCTTGCTGCCCTCACTTTAACTAGCCTATAAATTTATACCACTTAAAATATGTGTTTTCTGGAGGAAACAACAACAAAAACTTAAGTTACTTTCCGATGGCCTGAGTCAGCAAAATATTTTCACAACAATTCCCACTCAAGATATTTAAATCTTTTTATTTTTAATGTCATCATATGAGTTGGAGATGCTGTCCTTCAAACAGTTTTATCTTTATATGTACTAAAATTCTCAAAAAAAAAGGGGGGGGGGGGGGAATTGAATGATGTAATTCAAATGAGCCTTTAGTCCTTTCAAAGAAACATCATCCATCATCCAAATTCTTTCTCTTTTTTAATAATCTCAGAAATTTAGGCTTGAATGTTTATGGTTTACTCTGGCCCAGCTGGTTAAAATAAATACATATTGATTTTTACTTGTTGTGTGCATAAATATGATTCAAAGTAATCTGTTTTTGGTTTAAAGTTGTCTTTATTTGTTTTATAGAATAATTCAAATTAATAGTTTACACATTAAAATAGAAACAAACATTGCTAATCACACATTCACGAATGATTTCTGTCCATTTTTAACGACTGAGCTTAATGTGTGTCCCAAAATAAGGCTGACACCTTGTCCAGTTTTAAGACTGGCCTTAAGACTTTCCTTTGTGATCAATCCTATAGTTAGGTTTGGCTTGTTATGCTGCATGGAAGAACTCAAACATTTACTGAAAAATTAGCTTTTTTTGTGACCTACATGTGTAGACTGTTGAGCCATATCTGGAACAGTCTCCGTTTTGTTTCCACTCTGGCACTGGATCATTTTGCCTGTCATGGCAACGTTTGTCTGCACGTTATTTTGCCGGGGACGACAAAGCACAATGCTCACTCCAATAGACGTCCCATTGTGAGCTGCGTGGCACCGCAGCAGAATGAAGCCTCCATGGTCTCAGATCTGAGTCTTGTCTGTGTCACATCCAAACGCAGTCACCAGCAACATAACAAAACCAGAACAACAAGTGTGAGGGCTGACCTGCACGCTCCCACTGTCCTGCATATTGAATATGGCGTCTCAATGACTCCCATGGGTGTAAACATTTGTTTTAGTGTGATAAAGCAAAAATGAAGGTCATTATTTGGACTTGAGCATTCTGTGCTACAGAGAGAAACCTTGGAGTTGATTTTGGTCAAGAATTTTGTTTATAAACTGTCAGATAAAGAAACTTGCCAAAGCTACTTTATCTGAATAACCTTCGAGAAAATAACGCAAAGTCATGGAGTCCATGTGGAAATAACAGCAAAGAAAATGTGTGAAATATAATCTCAGTTTCACATACAACCATTGGACTCTTCATAACATTATACCGTCAAAATGTTCCAAAGCTACAGGTTATACATACGTTCCACACATGTCACGTAATATCTAAACATAATTTCACGTGACCACATGGGATTTTTCACACGGGAAGCTTGTGTTTCTTTTTTAACTTTGTTTTAAGTGTTGTTTTATCGTGACTTATTTTAATTATTTGTTGGTTCTGTTTCTATTAATTGCTGATTTTAATTGTTTTTGTAAGGTGACCTTGGGTTTTTGAAAGGTGCCCTGAAATAAAAAAAATTATTATTATTATTATTATTAAACACAAAATTAGCAACATTCTACACTGAAAAACTAAAGTGAACTGTTACAACGCCAATGAAGCTGCAAAAACTTTCTTCAAGTATTAAAATTGATGCAAAAATGCTGCAATTAACATAGAAAATGTAATGAATTCACATGTCCATTGTAAAGCACTTGTGGGTAAAGTTACAGCAAAGTGTAAAACATGGTAAATGTTGTCTTTGAAAGACGTTTACAAAATAATCTCTGCAAGGGTTTTGCATTTTATGCCCTAAATTTTTTCCAAATATCATTTCCCATTTGCAAAACAGCTTTTGCATTTAGGATTTTTATAAATTTGGATTATAAGAGAGATTATTTCCTCCCTACATTAGCTTTTGACAGTCCCCTCGTTTAAAATCCTTCATCTTGTTGTGCTTTCCTAGAAGTTTTTGCTCTCAGTGACTTATAGAAATAACACTGAGCTGAGTTCATTCATTCATTCAACCTTTATTTACACAGATAAATCACATTGAGCCTCGAAGACTCATTTACAAGTGAGACCTGTTTAGACAGACAACATGTGGTGAAAGTGACACTTGCATAAGATTTGGAGGCAAAAATAATAAAAATAAATCCTATCAAACTCTTACTCCTTGGCCGAGGAGAGAGAGCCTGAGATTGAAAACAACACCCTGCACATAAGCACATAGTGACGCAGACATTCCGCAGGGGATGGAAGACGACAAGAGTTGGTGAAAGTTTGAATCTCTCCTCTTCATGTTCTCCCAGCTGCAGTGTGCTACGTGTACAGTGCTCTAGGTGTGACTGCTGGTGCTCATAGATTATGGAGCCACAGATCCTACAAGGCTTCCTTCCCCCTGCGAGTCCTCCTCGCTCTTGGAAACTCCATGGCATTCCAGGTAAACTAATCTGAATTATTGCACATTTAAAATTGGGCTGCACTTCTGTAATGAGAGGGATCAGAGTGCCAATGATTGCATCATGCAATAAAACTTTTGCGCAACATATGCTTTGCTGCTATGATCTCTGACCTCAGTCTGATCACCTGAAACTACGACATGTATGTTAAAGTGGTCTCATGATCTTCTTGTCGTGTGCATGCCTTACAGAATGATATTTACGAGTGGGCGAGGGATCATCGTGTCCACCATAAATACTCTGAAACAAACGCAGACCCTCACAACGCCAAGCGGGGCTTCTTCTTCTCCCACATTGGTTGGCTGCTGGTGCGAAAACACCCTGAAGTCATCGAAAAGGGACAGAAGCTGCAGCTGGCAGACCTGAAGGCAGATGAAGTGGTGATGTTCCAGAGACGGTGAGGACGTTTGAAGAGTAATTAATGTGCGTTTACGCGTCTGCATTTGTTCCCTTTAGATTTTTTCATTTCATCTGTCCATCAGACATGATGCTAGAACTGTAAAAATATATGTTTTTACAGTTTAGTGTTAGAAACATTTGTGTTGAATGTGCTTTGCAAAAAGTGTTTCCTCCCATCTTTAAGCTGCTCATGAAGTAGGGCTTTGAGCTACAGTGACGATTCTCCTCTAGAAAAAAAAATCCCAGATTGTCACTTTGTTCTCAGGAAAAGGGGATTAAAGTGGTCAAAATCACAAGATCAGGGAGTTAAATCAACTGTGCACTGTTGCACTACTTTATACAGGTGTATCTAAAAAAATGTGAACAGTGTGAAAAAGTTCAATATTTTTGTTGTTCATTTCAGAAAGTGAAACTCATAAATTATATAAATTCATTACACATACAGTGAAATACTTCAAGCCTTTGTTCATTGTCATTTTGATGATTATGGCTTACAGATAATGAAAAAAAAAAAAAAAAAATCAGTGTCTCATGTAATTAGAATATTCCACAGGCAGCTTTTGGTACCTTTGTCAGTGTGGACAGAAGTTGAGACCTGCTGGAAAATGAAATCAGCATCTCCATAAAGCTCGTCAGCAGAAGGAAGCATGAAGTCTCTAAAATGATGCTGCGTGGACTTCAGAAAACACAGTGGACAAACACCAGCAGAGGACATGGACCCAAACCATCACTGACTGTGGAAACTTCACTTTGGACTTCAAGCAACATGGATTCTGTTCCTCTCCACTCCCTCCAGACTCTGAGTCCTTGATTTACAAAATGACATGAACATTTACTTTAATCTGAAAAGAGGACATTGGCTCACTGAGCAACAGTCCAGTTCTTTGTCCTCAGCAGGTAAGACACTTCTGATGTTGTCTCTGGTTGAGGAGTGTCTGGATTGGAGGAATGAGACGTTTGTAGCTCAGGAGTTAATGAGCTGATCAGAGTGTGACATCAGCAGTTTATAATATTGAACCGCTTAACAATATTCTAATTTTCTGAGACACTAAGTTTTGTGTTATCATTATTTGTAAGACATAATCATCAAAATGACACAAAATAAAGGCTTGAAATATATTTATGTGTAATGAATCTATATAATTTATGAGTTTCACTTTCTGAAATGACTAACAAAAATATTGAACTTTCATAATGTTCAAATTTTTTGAGATGCACCTGCATTTAGACGTGAAGTTTTTGCTTTTGAAATTTATCTATAATGAAACCACAAGAAGGAGGATTTGTGCTTGATGCAACTTGTTCCTTTGTGTTCAGGTACTACAAACTCTCTGTGGTGATCTTTTGCTTCCTTGCCCCGACGCTGGTGCCTTGGTACTTCTGGGGGGAGTCCCTGATGGTGGGATACTTTGTTCCTGGGCTCCTGAGGTATGCCATGGTGCTTAATGCCACCTGGCTGGTAAACAGTGCTGCGCACATGTGGGGAAACAGGCCGTATGATAAATCCATCAACCCGAGGGAAAATGCATTTGTTGCTTTGAGTGCCATAGGTGAGGTGCCATCACTCATTTTTAACTGTTTTATAATAAAATTCTTGTATTTCAGTGGCTCTCTTTTGTGAAACTTTTACTTTTTACAGGTACGTAGACTTGAAGCAGTTTTCTGGGACATTTATTTTTTAATATCAGATGTGTCAAAAAATTTTAAAGTGTGATTGTCTTAAGAAAAAAATACACGAAATTTTGAGGAATTTTAGTTTAGAAAAATTGACAAATTAACGCCTGCATGTTGTCAGAACATGCATGAACATCTTCTTGCATTCTCCTTTCTGTTTCTGTCTTTTTCAACATTTTAACTGGAAACCTCTGCAGTAACATGACCAGCTGCTATAAACCTGATGATGGAAAGGATTACACACTCCAGCAGCACTAACTGAACACTGGTGCACCATTTCATATTCTACATCAGGGCTACTCAACTTGTAGCTTTTGACTTTTGGTATTGGTGCAACTTTAGCCTTTTGAAATATTTAGCCTTTTCTTCCTTTTATTTCTTATAGAAAATGAATTGAGCTCATTTTCCATCCTTCAAATCTTTAGATCTGTTTACAACCTTTTACTGCTCCTTTCACATTTTGTTCCAGTTCAGCTTCTTTTAGCTTCCTTGTGCAAATTTAAACTTTTTTTCAGCTAATTTCAGCTGTTTTTTCAGCTGTTTTGTGCTCTTTTCAGACTCTTTTGGCTAACTACAATGTTTTTGTGCTTCTTTTAACTTCTTTTTGCTAATTTCAGCTTGTTATGCTCCTTTCAGCTTGTTTCTGCTGGTTTCAGTTATTTCAGCTACTATTTAGCTGTTTTATGCTAATTTTAGCTTTTTCAACTAATTCCACATTTGTGCACTCATTTCAACTCTTTTCAGCCTAATTCAGCAAAAATGTGCTCTCCCCACGTCCTACTGGTAATTTAAGCTTCTTTCTGCTTTTTAGCTGTTGTTTTCTTTTCTTCTGATTTTAGCTTTTGTCAGATAATTTCCATTTTTTTGTGCTAATTTCTGTTTCTTTCAGCAAACTTGTCCTTTCTTCTTTCTTCTGCTAGCTTAGGCTTTTTCTTCCATTTCAGCTACAATTCAGATTGTTTTTAGCTAAGTTCAGCTGTTTTTCCAGCAAGTTCTTCAGTAATATGCATTCACACTGCATTTTCGCAGGAAATGCAGTTTCTGTAGTTGCATTTATGATTCAATGTAACAAAATAAACAATTTTAAAAGGTAACATAACATTTTAATATTTGGTTTATTTACACAATGACTTTTGAGCTGCTGGCTTTCAGTAACTGTGGCCCCCTGAGCAGTTTAGTTGAATAGCCCTGTTCTACTTCCTATATGTGTTCATTTTGGGCCTTCTAAATCACCACATTTATTAAATTTATTTATCCGACATCAATGCCAAGTTAGTAAAGCTGCAAGTGAATATATTTAACTTTACAGGAGGAGGCTAGATTGGCATTGTAATAAGTAAATCAACAAATTTACTGTTGAAGGTTGCGAGTTACATGACACGACAGTCATCTCTTGTCAATTTGCATAACCTTTTAAGGTGACTTATTAAATTATCAGTCATATGCACGATTTAGTCAAATTATATCACACTATAAGTATGCATGCTTTTGTTTCACGTAATTCACCGCAACATTATTGTTTATTTCAGGTGAAGGCTTTCACAACTACCATCACACATTTCCCTTCGACTACTCCACAAGTGAGTTCGGCTGCAAGATCAACGTCACCACGGCCTTTATAAACCTCATGTGCTTTGTAGGTTTGGCCAGAGACTGCAAGCAGGTTTCGAAGGAGATGATCACGGCTCGCGTGCGGCGAACGGGTGACGGCAGCTATAAAAGTGGCTGAGTCAGGGCGAGCCACAAAAGGAGTTAAAGGCTGAGGATGTAGCAACCAGTACTGCAACAATTCACTGGTGCAACAGTGATTTCCATGCTTCTAATCATGAGTTCAACCTTTCAGTGGAACTAATATTTCAGTAATTGTTTCCATAAAGGTTGTGGCTGTCTTTGTTGTGTTCACAGATTTTTCATAACCAATGGAAACTTGACACGTGCAAAAACCAAACATTTTCCACCATGACATACTTTTTGACATCACACGTGTGCAAAAGCAGTTTTTGACAAAGTAATTGTCTTTAACTTTTGTTGAATAATTTGCTCTTTTGCATCGTCTTTGGCACTTTGAAAGCCAACCCTTCTTTGCAGGCGAGGCGTAAGTCGTTTTGCTGTAAGTCAGTGGTGCTTTGAGGATTTTCATCTGAATATTGTTTATTTTCAGCAACTGTTTTAACGAAATTTAGTAATGGTTTTACTAAACCATTAGAAGACGTAGTTCAAGTTTAACATTTACAAAGTTGGGCCTTTATTTAGGCTAATAACAAACATGGTTCACCATGTATGAACACAGGGTAATGCTTTATCCACTGTGTTTATATGCTGCCTCACTAAGAGTTCAAGTTTATGACATTTTAAACATTTTGTAACCTCTGGTTTAGATGGAAAGCTGCCTCAGACTTCAGAATTAATTCTGCACAGAAACACGTCTCAGTCTAAGAAGTAATTAATAATAAGTTTGCACTTCTTTCAAGTATTCACGTGTTTATCCTCTCCATCACATGAGGCCCAGACACATGAAGGAGGTGCATTTATCTTTTGCAGAGTGCAAGCTGATTGACGTCTTTGGCCCAAATGTCTTAATGAAGGTCGTCCACGTGGTTAAAATGGAAATGTCAGCATTTAGAGACAAAATGTGACTTAACATTTCTGCATATTCACTTCTTTGGATTCTTTTAACTCCTATGTGATCTTAAAAGTGCAAGTCCATAAGAAAGAGTTGGTTATTGCAAATTAACTAATGTGTTACCAAATAAAATGTTTACAAAAAGATTTAAACTTGAAAATAAATAAACTAATATAATAAACCACTGTAGAAACATCTGTCATAATTTCACTTTTCTATTGTTGTGAAATGGCACATTTATTTAGAAAGAATGGTTTTTTTTGTATCTATTATATATATTTGAAATAAATCATGTTTTTATGCAGCAAAATTCCACTTGTTTTTGTCTCTTTACAAAGTGCAAAGAAAATAAAAATCTAAATCTGTTTATTTATTTATTTATTGTTAGAGTAATCGCCTTTTGCATGTAGTCAGAAATTTTACAGGATTACAACCAGGCGTGTGATTGTCCAGTTTGTACAAATTGTTGCTAATAATCAACAGCATTATTTGTAAATTACCGTACTTGCCGCCGTACATGTCACACCACCTTATAAGTTGCTTCAGTCCAAAAACAGGTGCTGGTCATAAAATTAGAATATCATGAAAAACTTGATTTATTTCAGTAATTCCATTCAAAAAATGAAACTTGTATATAATATTCATTCATTACACACAAACTGATATATTTAAAATGTTTATTTCTTTTATTGTTGATGATTATAACTGACAACTAATGAAATCCCCAAATTCAGTATCTCAGAAAATTAGAAAATTACTTAAGACTAGGGATGCACGATATTATTGGCATGGTATCAGTATCGGCTGATATTAGCATTAAAGTTAAACATCAGACATCCATCAAAATAACTCCCCAATATAAAAGACACTGTTTTTGTATGACAAGCCAGTGATAAGGACGACTGCAGCGCCAACTCAACGTGATGACGTCACGCACGCCTACCTGATCTGATCACGGCAGAGAGGAAGAAGTCAAAATGTCGGCGGTGTGGAAGTCTTTTTCGTTGAGGATATTGGATTACGAAGATTTTTAGACTATATTGAGTCTTACATTGTCCAGGCAGAGATATTTTTCTGACGTAGCTTTACTCGAGTTACAAGTTGTCATTTCCAACATCATTGAGAAGCTAATAGCTGATAGCACTTGGGTGAGTTTTACCACAGACATTTGGACGTCAAGTGTTAGCCCCGTTAACATGAATAGTCTTACGGCACAATGGATAGACAAAAACTTTGAACTTAAAAAGTCTGTCCTTCATGTACAAGAGTGCAGAGGATCCCACACTGCAGCTAAGAACCTGGAACAAGTCTCCACAAGTGAGACAGCATCGCAGGTGACTAATGCTAATAAATAACATTTATAACACTTTTAATTTAATATAAATTAAAGTGCTATGCATATCATATGGCTGTTACTGAATGTATGTCACCAGCTCTTACAACTGTTACACAATTTTTGTAGCAAATAAGCCTAAATAAGAAGGCTATGTTCTGATGAAGGAACATATATAAAAATATCAGTATCGGTTATCGTCCAAATAAGTTTTAACATATTAGCATATCGGATATCAACTAAAAATCCAATATTGTGCATTCCTACTTAAGACCTGAAATGTTGGCCAACTGAAAAGTCTGAACATGAAAAGTATGAGCATGAAAAGTATGAGCATGTGCATCACTCAATACTTAGTTGTTGCTCCTTTTGCCTGGATTACTGCAGCAATGCAGCGTGGCATGGAGTTGATCAGTCTGTGGCTCTGCTCAGGTGTTATGAGAGCCCTGGTTGCTCTGATAGTGGCCTTCAGCTCTTCTGAATTGTTGGGTCTGGCATATCACATATTCCTCTTCACAATACTGACCTTAACCCCATAGATTTTCTATGGGGTTAAGGTCAGGCGAGTTTGCTGGCCAGTTAAGAACAGGGATCCCATGGTCCTTAAACCAGGTACTGGTAGCTTTGGCACTGTGTGCAGGTGCAAAGTCCTGTTGGAAAATGAAATCTGCATCTCCATAAAGTTGGTCAGCAGCAGGAAGCATGAAGTGCTCTAAAACTAGCTGGCAGATGGCTGCATTGACCTTGGACCTAAGAACACAGTGGACTAACACCAGCAGATGACATGGCACCCCAAACCATCATTGACTGTGGAAACTTGACACTGGACCTCAAGCAACATGGATTGTGTGCCTCTCCTCTCTTCCACCAGACTCTGGGACCTTGATTTCCAAAGGAAATGCAAAATTTACTTTCATCAGAGAACATGACTTTGAACCACTCAGCAGCAGTCCCAGGCGAGATACTTCTGACACTGTCTCTTGTTCAAGAGTGGCTTGACACAAGGAATGCGACAACTGAACCCCATGTCTTGCATACGTCTGTGAGTGGTGGTTCTTGAAGCACTGACTCCAGCTGCAGTCCACACTTTGTGAATCTCCCCCACATTTTGTAAAGGGTTTTGTTTCACAATCCTCTCCAGGATGCAGTTATCCCTATTGCAAAAGACCGAGGAAGTCTTTTGGATGAAAGACGAAACGTTTCTACAATTTATTTTATTAAAAAAAAATTTTTTTAATGTCCAGAGGACCAGATTTAACTTTTTTAGATTTTTCTACCTGGATTATTAAGTATGCATCAGGATATTCCTATTGCTTGTACACTTTTTTCTACAACATTGTTTCCTTCTCTTCACCTCTCTATTAATGTGCTTGGATGCAGAGCTCTGTGAACAGCCAGACTCTAAAAAAGTTAAATCTAGTCCTCTGGACATTAAAAAAAAAAAAAAAAAAAAAGCAAAACAACAAAAAAATGTAGAAACGTTTCGTCTCTCATCCGAGAGACTTCCTCTGTCTGAGGTGCTGTATTCAGCTCAGTCTCTTAAATAGCACCTTCTCAGAGTGGATCAACCAGTTTTGCCAGACTCTTTAGCAATGACCTTTTGTGTCTTGTCCTCCTTGTGCAAGGTGTCAATGGTCGTCTTTTGGACAACTGTCAAGTCAGCAGTTTTCCCCATGATTGTGTAGCACACAGAACTAGACTGAGACCATTTAAAGGCCTTTGCAGGTGTTTTGAGTTAATTAGCTGATTAGAGTGTGACACCAGGTGTCTTCAATATTGAACCTTTTCACAATATTCTAATTTTATGCGATACTGAATTTGGGGTTTTCATTAGTTGTCAGTTATAATCAACATTAAAAGAAATAAACATTTGAAATAAACATATTCATCAGTGAATTAATACAATATACAAGTTTCACTTTTTGAATGGAATTACTGAAATAAATCAACTTTTTCACAATATTCTAATTTTATGACAAGCACCTGCATGTCTAATAAAGTGGGAAAAAACATAAATACGTCGCTTCGCCATATAAGTCACATCTATTATGCATCACCGCTGACAACCCGTAAATGTGGTTTGAACCTGGAAACGTGAGATGGTGTTGAGCCAAAAATTGATTGGCTGACAAATGGCGGCCGTGGGGGCATGCACAGGAGGACTTTAACAAGAATTTAACAAGATTAACACTTAAAAACATTTTGCTCGAAATTATATCAATGGTGTGTCTCAGTCTACCTTTTGCTTAATAAATGCACTTTAATGGTAAAATCAGCTGCATTTCAAAAGCTGATTCATGGCTGCTGGAGCGCACAGAGGGATGACTCGCTGTGCATTTCTTTGAAATTTACCAAGATAACCACCTAAAAACAATTCTTTGTTTGGTGTGTGTCAGTTGAACTTTTCCTTAATAAATGCATTATATTGGTCAAATCAGCTGCATTTTGCCTGGGCGACACGAAGAAATGCTGCTGATCTGACGTTTGCTCCAGGAGTTCCAGAGCCAGATGAAGGTGGCTTGGTATGGCAAGCCAAGTGTCTCATTAATAGCCAGTTTTACCTATTAATGAGATACTTGGCTTGCCATATTACTCGACCGCCATCTAGTGGCTGAAAATGGTAGTGTTCGATATTGTCCATGTCAGAATGAATGAAATCTTCAGATCTCAGCCAAAAATTGGGTTAAAAATATGGGAAATAAGTTGCTTTGCTGTATAAGTCACAGGGCATGCTAATTTATGCAAAAATGTGCGACTTAATACAGCAAAAATTACGGTAAACGGAAATGGCAGTGTGGGAGGCTAACTGAACAAATAAATGTTCCTAGCCCAAATGCTGCCCAAAACACAAAATCTGCAATTGACATGTTTGGTCAAACACTGTGGTGTGGTTGTAATACATCTGCACAGTCTCTCTAAAGATGTAAAACCAGACAAAGGAGTTCCATCGTTAAGTGTCTTTGGAAGAAGCACAACGGATAAAAAGGACTGTAGATGCAGGGTTTGACCGAGGAAACCTGTAGCAGAGGAAATACACTTTATCTCAGCTCAAAACTAACAGAAACCTGCAGCAAGACCAAGGTACACCCTTTTACTGTCTGGAAGTGTTCAGCAGGGAAGAACTGAGTTTAAAAAAGCCATTCCTTTTATTTGCAACAAAGCTCAAGGTTTGTGTAAACATAAAACTGTATTATTAAGAACAATAGTCGGCATAAAGAAGAGCAAGGAGTCTTGGAAGAGATTATATGATATGGCCGATAGGAGTGTTTGCTATCAAAACTACAAAAACTTTAGCTGTTTCTCCTCTTCCTGAGGAGGACTTGTGTAAATGTCATAGAACAGCATGCCTTGTCCATCCTCTGCTCTATGAGCAAGCAGAAACTGTGTGTTGACCGTCTGTGTAAGCAGAAAAAGAAATGTTGCATGCTATGGAAAACTGCCACCAGTCTACTGTAAGTGGAGCCACAACTGCTGACCTCGGTCATCCCAGCAGTGACATCAGCCCGTTGGCCATTGGCTGCTGACGGTCAGGCCATCCTCTTCAAACCAGCAGCACCTCAGTGTGAAAGCTCCAACAATTTACTGTGGTCAGACAGACACTTTCAGACTGAAACACAGCACTGACTGATCCTCAGATCACTGAGATGACGAGCTACGTTCTGCAGGGTGGTGGTGGTTATGGAGAAGCCTGGAACACACCACTGAAAACAGCCCAGGCGCCAAGGACATACTGGGAGCTATCAGAGGGTGATATGGCATTCACCGAGACTGACTGGCATCTTCAGCTGATAAAACTGCTCCCAGTCTGTCCCAAACACCTTGCACACAATCCTAGTGTCACTTGTTTGAAGCAAAGAAGATAATATGTTAAAATCACATTGGAACATTTAAGATATATATTTTTTTGTAATTGCAAACAATAATCAACATTATTCATGTTTCAAACGTGTCATAATCAAATAAAACTAACTTCATTTGATGAACATGTTTTATGTTTCCCCCCAAATAAAGCTTAAAAGAAATACGTGGCATTTATCATTCTGTGTGAGTAAGGACAGTGACTGTGCAGAAACAATCAGATATTAATCTGGTCAGAACGACTTTAAAGAAACCAGTTCAGAGTGGTTCCGACAAATGACGTGAGGTTCAGAGGTCATGGTCAGGAAAGGCCTTTTTCATGCTACGCCTGCCAAATTTACAGAACCTTTTAGAAACACTGCTTAAAGACGTGTTTAGTAGCCAAGGGAGGTAAAGTTCATTCAACCTTTATTTATACAGGTTAATCCCACTGAGCCTCGAGGACTCATTTACAAGAGAGACCTGCAAGTAAAGATTCATTTTGAAGTAGCTTTCTCATATTTTCTCTGGTCTAACGTACAAGATATTATCAGTTCAATCATGCAACATAGAAGTATTTCAAAACCTGAGGCAACACTACTGAAAGTTTTCTTGAAAGTATCAGAAAGGTTTTCCAGATTAGTCCCTGAAAGGGTTTTGCAAAATTCATCAAAGTTTCCATATTCAGCTGCAAAACAAAACAACAACAAAAAAATAAATAAAATAAAATAAAATAAAAATCATACAGTAACATTGTATCATATTAAACCACAATAAAACATGTGTTTTACTAAATGTTTCATCAGGAGGGTCTTTTCTGAAGCTCCAATAAATTGCAAAGAGAGATGACGGCCATCACTTTGTACAAGTTCTTATTTCATTTATTTAGACACATTTTGCATAACAAGTCTGCAGCATTATAGCACCTCAACACCTTCTGTAGTACAGAATTTATTTATATTATTGTTGTTTATTTATTTGTTTATTTATTGTTCCTTGTAACATTCAGGGGGAGGTGGTGGCGCAGAGGTTAGAAGATGGGCGTGTGATCGGAAAGTCGCAGGTTCACTTCCCGGTACCGTCAACATCAAAAATGTGGGTGGAAAAGGTGAAACACAGACACCTTCATTCGCCCCACTCTGGGCCCTTGAGCAAGGCCCTTAACCCCCGCCATCTGCTCCCTAAACAGGTCTCTCTTGAAAATGAGTTCTCATGGCTCAATGAGACTACCTGCATAAATAAAGGATAAATGAAAAAAAAGAAAAAAAATCACATTATGGAAGAAGATTGGGGCCAAAGTGCAGAACAATATTTTTTTCCTAAAATTTGACTTTTTTTTCTCTCAGAAATCTGAGATTATATTCTTATCATTATTCTTGTTCTTTTTCTTATTTATTACATTTCTTATTATTTGTTATTTATATTATAATTTATTTTTATAACATTTTTATTATTATTTATTATTGTTATTATTAGTAGTATTTTATTGAATTTATTAATATTTGTTATCCATTATTATTATAATTATTAATTTATTTTTATTAAATTTTTATTATTGTTATTTATTATTATTTTTATTTATTTTATTTATTTATGTATTTTTTTTTTCCATGGTGGTCTTAATCCTCTTCTGTACACCTTCCAGTCTGCTGCTCATCATCCTTAAAGATTATTTTTTTCTGAGAATTTATGGCGACAGATTTAAACAATTATGTTACACTTTGTTCCGGTAAATCGAAAGCACATTAAAATGAGTAATTAAACACCACACTGAAGACAGCATCTTGTATTTGTCTCAACTGCATGTGGATGCAGCTGGACTGTAAATCATTCAAGACGTTTGTTGAGTGACGTGAAACAACGGAGCAGGACGGGAGTCGCTCTGAGTAACAGTCTGTGCTTCAGCTCTGATTTAATCACAGCTTTGTTGATTTCACAATTACTTCCTCCAAAGTACACTGACTCATTTCTGCAGCCCCATCATCAAACCAGAGCGCTATCTTCCACTAATCCCTGACAATCAGCAGCGCCTCAGATATCTTAAATAAACCCATTTTCTGAGCAGAATTCGGGGGATCAGTGTTACTCTTTTCCTGCAGGATTAAACGGATCTTCCCTTCTCTTGAATGGAGGCAGGGAAGCCACCGTTGCTCGGCCCTGAAGGCCCAGGGTGCCCTTTTGATCATTTCAATCTCTCCTCAGAGAAAAAACCTTCTGATTGGCCAGGAGGCTGAGAAGGGGGGGAAATCTTTAATTAAGCAGATAATCTCTTGTTGGGACGAGAGGAGCTCCATTTCAGAGCCCCCTCCTTGAGTCCTGATCGCTTCTGGTGAAGTTTCATACGCTGGTAGCCCAGTTGCCTCTCCATTCTTTGTGTCGTCTGCAGGCTATCGGGACAAGTCTTACCTGTCAGGATGTTCATTCACTGGGAGGTGTTTTATTACGTTTTCATACTTATGACTCACATGAGGTCATACTGCTGCTGGTAAGTTTCATTTATCTCTAAATAGTTACAATTTCCTCATCCTCACGAGGTTTAATCTGCAGTTCTTATGTAAAAAAAAACACAAAAAGAAGAAAAAAATGGTTCCTGGATTTATTTGGTGATGACTGAGCTGTCAAACCTTTTCACCAGAGCATGTTTTTAATAATGCTTCTTACAAAAAGGGCATATTTGCTCGCTCTCAGCTCAGGGTTCCTTTGCCTCCCTTTTGCTTGGTCACGTGAGCGTTTCATTCCCAGACAAGGACGTGAATTTTAAAATCCATCATCACAATGATATAGACAATCATTAAGACGTTTTACAACAAGGAAACATGAACGGGGCCTTCACTGGCGCACGTTTGCTCCGCCACGGTTCGGATGGTGTCGCGGTTTAACGTGATCCGCAGCACACTAATGAGAGATGCTAGCGGAGGAATTTGTGGAGCTTCCTTGAGTGAATAAGCTGTCTCCTCTTCCAGGTCAGTGAATAATTTCTTGATGACCGGACCCAAGGTAAGCCAACTTTCTTTTGATCTTTCCTCCTCTTTTTTTGGCTTCTCCTGACAGAAACAGGGAGAAAAACCACGGTCCCTGTGTGAAGCGTATCGACAAGCTCAGCTACCTGTCTGTATTCAACAAAAGCTCTAAATCAATGATATTCTTGGCCTTTTGTGATCCCCCCCCACCCCACCCCACAGTACACTTGACCTTATTCAGAGGCTCTGTGTATCCAAGGGTTGAATGTGTTAAGCAGCGAGGGCAGGAGAGGCTGTAGTGGGTGGTCATCATTAGTGAGCCAGACCCCTGTGAAAGAGGTGGTACTCCATCTCCCTGAAGGCCACTTGAGACATATTAGTTATATTATCATTCATGCAGTCTGAACAAGCAGCGGAGCAGCAGGATGGAGCGCACCGGTCTGAGAAAGCTCCACAAGTCATTGTGCTCGCAATTTCTGAATGGCATAATATTGCTCTGCTTTTTATAAACTCCCCCGACACCCCTGTCCAGTGGTCCACCCTTTCTATTACTTTAAGTTCTGATTTAAAATATATAAATAAAGGGTGAAGAAAAATCCAAATTTAAGCACGTTCATCACTTTTTGGGCCTTCCTTGAGCTTCAAGTTATTAAAAATGTCGCAACACGACAAAAGTCAAATTCTGCCTCAGCAAAACTCAAGATTTACTCACAAAATATTTTCTCTTGTGTCTAAGCGTTTCCTTACTGGTTTCGTCTCTTAGTTTCACGTCAATCCTCCTCAAAGGGAACTCTTTTATGAGGATTGTTCTGTTTTATGCTGTTGTTGCTTTGCGAGTTTAAATGGCGCTGTGTTTCTGCTGCCGCTGCAGGCTTACCTGATTTACTCGAGCAGCGTGGCAGCAGGAGCTCAGACAGGCATCGAGGAATGCAAACACCAGTTCGCTTGGGACCGCTGGAACTGCCCAGAGAGAGCTCTGCAGCTGTCCACACACAGCAGCCTGCGCAGTGGTGAGTCCACGACTGGAACACCAGCAAGCGAAGGGGTCGATGTAACCGGACCTCTCTTTGTGCACGATTTCACTGTTTGAAACAGAGAGGGCACAAGATGCTTTAGGACGGTCTTTTTCACTTGAAAGAAAAAACAAAACACGATAATTATATTGGCACCACTTTACAATAAGGCTCCCCTTATAGATGGCTAATAAACAGTTTATAGATATGTTATCAATTCCTCTATAAATCATTAATAACTGCTTATTATGCATTGATTAAGGGGGACAGAGAGAAAAACAACTGACCAGTTTCTGAGCCCAATCTGTTCAATTATATATTTCATCTAGAGTTGTTATATTAAACATTTCAGACTAAGTTACTACCTTGTGAGCACAATAAGCATTTGTAAACCTCATTTTTAGCATATAATATTGTACTTTATCACTGTATTATAAGTATCTACAACTAATATTATATCCTAAAAAAAAATAGGTTTACAAATGTTTATTGTGCTTACAAGATAGTAACTTAACCGTTTAATAAAACAACTCTAGATTAAATATATAGGTGGCAGATTTGGCTCAATATTTGGTAAGAAACTGCTCAGTTTGGTCTCTCTGTCACCCTTAATTAATGCTTAATAAACAATAATTAATGATTTATAAAGTGTTTATAGAGGAATTAATAATGTATTAACTATTTATTAGCCCTCTTTAAGGGGAGCCTTATTGTAAAGTGGTACCATTATATCTAATAAGCCATCAGCTTTCTCTGTTTTGTTGAGACTCAAACGTATGTTTGACAGTTTAAAATGATCTTCATTTACACATGCATGAGAGCCTTGTTTTGTTCTAAACAAATGATAGATGGTGGACCCATTAGGTCAACATTTCATGGTCTTTTTTGATCAATAAAATTGTAGTAAGCTTGTAAATTACAGCAATTTTTTTTACAACCTAGGATTTATTGAAAAATCTGCAATGGAAAGATTTTTGGAAAAGCATATGAAACTGCTAAACTTCTCAACTTGGAGAAAATACAAACATGCATATGCTTAACCACCATTTTATTGTAAAAAATGTCTCTTGAAAACGAGTACGTAATAGAAAAGTAAAAACCACATTGGCGTCAGACACTTTGAAAGTAGATGAGCACGACTGGTCAGTGGTTAGTACTGTTGCCTCACAGCAAGAAGGTCCTGGGTTCAATCCCCAATTGAACCTGGGGTCTTTCTGGGTGGAGTTTGCATGTTCTTCTCATGTTTGCGTGGGTTTTCTCCGGGTACTCCGGTTTCCTCCCACAGATTAAAAACATGCATGTTAGGCTGCATTCAGGCCCAGGCCTCCCTTGCAAAAGAGATCTGTGATCGCAATGGGATTTACCTGTTTAAATAAAGGTTAAAAATAATGCTTATATATAAAAAAATGTAAATAAATTTCATTACTGTATCTCATTTGTGCAATAAAAATCTTTGATGAGTGAAGATTGTTAAAGAGTCCCTCTGCTGGCAGCAAATCGTGAGGCCGCATTCGTCCATGCCATCAGCTCTGCGGGCGTCATGTACACCCTAACCAGGAACTGCAGTCTGGGAGACTTTGATAACTGCGGCTGCGATGACAGCAGAAACGGACAACGAGGTCAGGGAACTCCCTAAATCTGTGCATAAATCTTTCACTGCGCACAATACGATGCAAAACAGAAACTGTTTTTCTTCTCAGGCGGTCATGGCTGGCTGTGGGGTGGCTGCAGCGACAACGTTGGCTTCGGCGAGGCCATCTCGAAACAGTTCGTGGACGCCTTGGAGACCGGGCAGGACGCTCGGGCAGCCATGAACCTCCACAACAACGAGGCTGGTCGAAAGGTGCAGTAGCTGGCCCTGATTCGCTCCCATCCACTTTGAAACGAGACATGAGCTCGTAGATCAAGTAAACAACGTCTGTGCCTCGAGCTCAACTGGGTGTTTGAATGTTTGTTCCTGCAGGGCCCCTCCAACTGATTTCTGAGCGTAGAGCGCTCTTTGAATTATTTTTCCTCGCTCAGGAGAACACTGAGTGTGCCACCCAAGTATCCCTTTCACGTTGCAATAAGTGAGGTGCCACTCGTTCCCGATAACAACAGTGTGTTCGATGTACCAGAAGGGCCTATTTACCAGTGCTGAATGCACCTTATAACAATACGTCAACTCAGGAATCCCAGAGTTGCTAGTGCGAGCTTAATTGGAGATCCCGCGGAGCCAGACACCGCACGGCATTCTGTATCCTCCTGCTTTCTTAAAATAAGTGTTTTAGTTTTATTCTTGCGATAAGGATCCCACATTTATGTTAGCCTTTGTTTGGCTCCGAGGGAGTCTGAGGGGACCACAGGCGTGCAGCTGAAGTGCTCTTTGTTGACGGTGCCTTTGCTCCCCCCCGCTGGGCCCTGGGATCCCCATGGCACCTGGAGCATCATTGTAACAGATAAAAATGGGGACAAGAAAGAGAGAAAAACTTCTTTTTTCCGTTTCTCCGCTCAATGGGTCCTCCCTCGAAAGAAAACATGTTGATAATGAACATGCTAAATAAATACTCCTGCGTATTATTCGGGGGGACAATGGAGCTCGATGTGAAACTTTGATGCGGCCTCACCTCGGCGGAGGGTTCAGGCCCTGGAGAAAACGCCCCTTTCAGCTGACAGCTGTTTTGTGTCAGGTAAAGTCAGGAAACACTGAGGACGACAAAGAAACTGTGCAACGGACCTTCCATTGAATGTATTCAACCTTTTTTTTTAACTGAACCGGACAACTTTAATAATTCAGTTAGTTAATTTGACAACACATCAATCAACCGAAAGAGAGTTTACGAACACACACTGCAGGCAGCTTTGGCGCTCTTCATCACTCGCTGCCAAAGGTGAAGGTGGAATGATGTTTTTTAATGTGTCTGTGCGTGTTTGTCTCTTTAGAAGAATATCTCAAGAATAATTGAACAGATTTTAATTAGGGATGCACGATATTGGATTTTTGGCCGATATCCGATATGCCGATATGTTAAAACTTATTTGGCCGATAACCGATACCAATATTTTTATATACTTTCATTTGTCAGAACATAGCCCTCTTATTTAGGCTTATTTGCTACTAAAGTGTGTAACAGCTGTAAGAGCTGGTGACATATATTCAGTAAAAGTCATATGATATGTGTAGCACATTAACTTATATTAAATGAAGTGTTAAATGTTATTTATTAACATTAGTCACCTGCCGTCTCACTTGTGGAGACTTGTTCTGGGTTCTTAGCTGCAGTGTGGGATCCTCTGCACTCTTGTGCATGAAGGACAGACTTTTTAAGTTCAAAGATTTTGTCTAACCATTTTGCCGTAAGACTAATCATGCTAACGGGGCTAACACGACGTCCAAATGTCTGTGGTAAAACTCACCCAACAAGTCGTGCTATCAGCTATTAGCTTCTCAATGACGTTGGATATGACGGCTTGTAACTCGGGTAAGGTTACGTCGGAAAAATATCTCCGACAGGGGACGATGTAGCGAGGTTCAGCGTAGTCCACAACTGGCTTCGAAATCCTCAATGAAAAAAAAACTTCCACACGCCGACATTTTGGATTTTCCTCTCTGCCTTGAGATCAGATTGGCGCGCGGGACGTCATCACGTTGTGCTGCCGCTGCAGGCATCCTTGTCACTGGGCTGACATACAAAAACAGCGTCTTTTATATCGGCAAGTTGTTTTAATGGAATGGCCGATGTCCGATATATAACTTTAACGCTAATATTGGCCGATACCGATACCATGCCGATAATATCGTGCATCCCTAATTTCAATTAAACATTGATTAAACTTTCAGAAAGTACCGTATTTTTCGGCGTATAATTCGATCCGGAGTATAAGTCGCATCGGTCAAAAAAAGCATCATGAAGAGGAAAAAAAAACATGTTGCTTCGACATATAAGTGACATTTATTAGCTGAACTGTCACATTTATTATGTGTTCATTTAATAGTCAAAACAGCTTCATATTGCCTGGACGGTGAGGTGCCATCCATCCATCCATCCATCCATTGCGGCCAGAGCCACTAGCATTTTTATTTTTTTTTGTATTCAACCTTTATTCATACAGATAAATCACACTGAGCCTCGAGGACTCATTTACAAGTGAAACTTGTTTGCTCTTCAGCGTTCCTCCACCAGCACCAGCTGAGTGAAGCGAGCACACACGGGAGGACTCGCTGTTATAGTTCTTCAAAATTTAAAGCGTCAGTCAAAAATTGCGTTATGAATATGGAAAAAAGTACATATATAAGTTGCTTCGACGTATAAGTCACAGGACTGACTAATCTAAGCAAAAAAAAAAAAAGCGACTTATATTCCGGAAATTACGGTAACTGAGTCAATATGATCCAAGATGGCTGCCACAGCAAAGCAATTTTACAAACAGAAAAATTGACTCGGTCACTTTAATAGATTTTAATCATATTGGGTGTGGTGGTAGTTGGGAGTCATTCCCACCATATACCCTGAGGGCTACACATTTTCTGCAGCTCACTCATTAACTGTTGGAGTTAATCCTTTTAGACTGTTATCAAAATATCTTCTGAACCACTGAATATATTTTAAAGAAACTTTCAAGAATTGGATGATTATCAACAAGTGGCTAACTTTTCCAAGATGACTGCTACAGCTAAGCAACACCAAGTGTTTGTAGGTCAGTCCGTTTTGCTAATACTGAGCTAACGTTTGCTGTGGGAAAAGTTGAAAGTCATCTCCAACACCTTCTCTGCACAACATTTTTGTTTAAACCTTTGCCAAAAACTCTTGGTATTGGTCCTATTTGTCTGTTAGCAAAATATCTCGTACAAAACGGTATGAAATTTAATGAAGCTCTCAGAACATAATCTTTTGATGCACATTACTTACCTTTTGGAGTGAACTCGATTAAAGATAGTCGACTTTTGCCCACCTAAAATGATCAGAGAACGTCTGTCATTTTACAGAAGCTAAAAGTTGGGGCAGTCTTTCAAAGCACACTCCAATCTTCAACAGATCATGTGAGATATTACGTGAGATTGAACACAATATTTTCAAGGTTTGACCGAAATGGCTTCCTTCACAGAACAATATGTGGTAAACTGAACGTGCATTGTCTTGTAGTGAGTCTTCTATTTTTGTTGTCTGCAGGCGGTCAAGGGGACCATGCAGAGGACATGCAAGTGTCACGGTGTGTCTGGAAGCTGCACCACTCAGACCTGCTGGCTGCAGCTGCCAGAGTTCAGGGAGGTGGGCAACTACCTAAAGGAGAAGTACCACCGGGCAGTGAAAGTGGACCTCCTCCGAGGAGCGGGGAACAGCGCGGCCGGCCGAGGAGCCATTGCCGAGACGTTCAGCTCCATCTCCCGCAAGGAGCTGGTCCATCTGGAGGACTCTCCCGACTACTGCCTTGAAAACCGCACTCTGGGCCTGCCGGGTACGGAAGGCCGCGAGTGCCTGAAGAAAGGCAAGGGCCTGAGCAAGTCAGAGAAACGGAGCTGCAAGAGGCTGTGCGGCGAGTGCGGCTTGGCTATGGAGGAGCGCAAGACTGAAATGGTGTCCAGCTGCAACTGCAAGTTCCACTGGTGCTGCGCGGTGAAGTGCGAGCAGTGCAGGAAGACGGTGACCAAGTACTTCTGCGTGAAGAAGGGAGGTCAGTGGGAGAGGAACGAGAGCGCCACGAGCCGCAGGAAGAGCCTCAGACTGAGGAAGAGGCACTGAGCGTGTCCAGCAGCCGGACGCTCAGTCTGCACGGACTGCTTCGTAGCACAGAGGCCCGTCATAGCAGAGAGGAAAGAGGAGCGCTCTTACGTTTTGTAGAATGTTGTTTTTTTAGCATAATGTATTTAAGATATATTTTTATATTTTTACAACATTTAAAAAAAATCCACAGGGCAATGGAAGCGTTTTAGCTGACGTCAAAATTTGCCACTTTTATTTATTCTAATAAACAAAAAGCATGCGAGAAATTTTAGCAGTTTGGTTGACGATCTAGCGCGAGCATCGTGAGATCACCCTGCAAGAAATTACCGAGTTTTAACCGTTGTTTTATAAGCCTTATGCGTGATCATGGGATATGAAAGCTCTGCCCCTCAGCTATGACGATTTTATCTCAGTACCTGTGAAACCGACTGTCGTAGCCACGTTTGTGATGGCTGAGGTAATTAGGTGTGGCCGCCATCTTGAATTAGCTTAATCAGTACAAGCAGTTAAACGGCTGCAGACGAACATCCAATAGTTATTTTCTGAGAATTAAATTAAAATCCATCCAGTGGTTCGTGAGATATTTTGCTAACAGACAAACAGGGTTAACTCCAACAGTTAACGGCAAAGTTTTAACATAAAATGTCGTGCATCGTGTAGCGCTCAAAGTATGTGGTGGGAATAACCCTCAGCTACTACCACATTAAACTTTACATTAAAACCTGTCAAATCTACTTAGTTGTAACTGTTTTGGTGTTTGCTAAGACTGCTTAGCTGTGGTAACCATCTTGATTTAGGTCGACTCCAGATGTTCATCAGTTGCAGAGGTTCATTCAGTGATAACTTTCTGTGGGTTTCGTTGAAATCTTTCCAATGCTTCTTGAAATATTTTGCTAACAGACAGCGAATGAACCTTTTGGCCCAGCTTTCACCTTTCAGCGGCAGACAATAACTTTTCTTGCAGTATCTTTTTGTTTGTTTACTCCTGTCTCACCCTGACATTTGCCCTCTCTATGTATTTAATTGTACATATAATTAAGCACTTTGTCCTGTACATTATTTTAATTTATTGCACCGTGTCTTGTTTAGTTTTACTTTATTGCTAGCGGTGATTTATGTTCCTTTATTATGACATCATGGAGAAATAATAAATCTTGTATCCGTGCGCACGACTCCGTCTGAATAAAGTTATCTGTGTCACATGGCGGCGCAGGTGGAGGAGTCGAGGGTGGACACAAGACGAAGAGTAAATCCAAGTTTAATTAAAACAAACAACTTAAAACCAAAAAGACTAAGAGAAACAAAACTTGGGACAATAATAGGGATCTGACTAACACCCAGCGAGGACACTTTGTGGCACCAATTCTTCATCGCATGGAGTAAACACAACGTTACTCTTCACACCGCTGCCACCGAGGTTAACACACTCTCTGGCAAACTGGGAAAAAAAAAAAAAAAAACAGAAAAGAAAAGCTTTCCTCCCCTCACGCCTTTCTCAATTACGCCTCAACAAATTCCTCCCGTTCTCTCCTTCATCACGGTAATCCTCGCGGAGCGCTTGGAAGTTTCTTCACTGTTTAATTCTAGTTTAATTAACTTTGTCCAGACAGAGCAAGGAGGCCGCGGGGGTGGAGGGCATGAGGCACGTTGGCCCTTAAAAAAAAATCATTCTGCCTCTAATTTTGTATGCTAATCTCCTTTTTCACGCCGCGCCTCCTTAGGGGAGATTGGAGGGGGAGAAGAGAAATGTTGGGAAAACTTTGGGTCGCCTGTGCAAGGCTTCCTGTGGCTGTTTTCTCTCCGGGCCCACCTATTTGGATCCTTTCACTCCTCTAGGGCCTTCCTTTGCTCGATTTAACAATGAATGCAGGGCTAATCAGCTCCCTCGGAAATGCACCGCTGTCGAAGAAGGTAATCCCTCCTTCTAGCGCGCTCAATGGGCAGTCGCCTTCCAAAGAACTTTGGGAAAAGGCTTTGCTCAGATTCACACTGCTCTCTCAAAAGAAGTTAGTTCAAGGATTGTGCCCAAACAAGTGAGTTTTATAAACACATGCTTGCCAGGAGACTCGCCCCACCTGCGAGGAAGAAGTGCCAGCCCAGGCAGAGCAGCACATGGCAGCCAATGCTGAAACCCTTCAGACAAGAAGGATCATGAAAGGGGAGATTAGAGGTCCCATTGAGCAAGGGGGGGGCGGTCATTTCTGCACCTTCCTTCTTTTGCTCGGTAAAGTGTCGAGGAAACACCTTGTTGACATCTCATTTACCTAATAATGATCATAATTGGAACTCCTCTCTCCTCTGATGACCCCCGTGGGCTGGCTAGATTGCTCTACCAGGGTGGCACCAAAACTTGCTCACCGACAAAGGAAGCGGCAAACTTTTACCCCCGCAGCCCTGTGGGACTCCTGCAAACCGTTGTGTTTAAAATGTCCATTCAGTACGCTCAAAGGTGGAGTTAGGGCAAAGTATTTGGACTGAAGTTGGCAAAGCTTCTCCAAATCTGGTGCAATGATATGAACTTTATGTTCTATTTTAATGAGGAGCTCTGTATGAACAATTAATATCTTACCTGACATAGATAGATTTTTGACCACACACTTTGAAAGAAAAAAGGCAGAGATTACCGTATTTTCCGCCATACATGTTGCACCGCCCTATACGTTGCATCAGTCCAAATATGTTTAGTAAAGTGGAAAAATCCATGCATGGGAGGACCTTAACAACAATTTAACAAGATTAACACTTAAAAACAATTATTTGTTTGCTCAAAATTATAGTAAAGGTGTGTCTCAGTTTAACTTTTACTTAATAAATGCACTTTAATGATCAAATCAGCTGCATTTCACCGGGGCAGCGCAGCAAAATGAAGCTGATGTGATGGTTGCTCCAACAAGCTGGACGAAGGCGGCCTCTATGGCAAGCCGATTGTGCCATTAATAGCCACTTTTCACCTATTACATGACGCAACGGCATGCCATACACTCAACTGCCATCTAGCGGCTGAAAATGGTAGTGTTCAATATTTTCCGTCAGAATGAATGAAAACGGTCATATCTCAGCCAAAAATTGGTGTATAAATGTGGGAAGAAAAAAAAATCTATAAATACGTCGCTTTGGCGTATAAGTCGCAGGGCATGCAAATTATGCAAAAAATAAAAACAAATTGCGACTTAGGCTGAAAAATATGGTAGTTGTGACTGGACTGACAACGTAATGGCTAGTTTGAGCGGCGCAAAGTCTAAAGTGGATTACTGTTATCCTGAATAATCCTACAAATTTTTCACAGTTCATGCAAATGCTATTTTATGAACTTTTGCTTATCTGTGCAGTGCAGCCTGAGTCATTTCTGGCACAAAAATAAGAATATTTCTGCATAAAAATCATTTTATGCAAAAACTGATCATCTTCAATGGTATATAAAATGGTGTTTGCATAAATCATTATGAAACTTTTGTGATTGGAGTTGCTTTATGATATCCACTTTGGTTTTTGCCTTGCTTGTATTATAACCATTAGCACCTTGTATGATCAAAATTAAAATACTGCTTTACACCAGCTGTTCAATGACCAATCGACAGCAGATAAGTTAATAATTATCCCACAAAACTCCACTTGAGAACTGCTGCTTTAATCTTGATGCTGTTATGCAGTGATACAAAGGTTAGCCGCCTGAATATGGAGAATGAAAGAAAAAACAAACCAACCCTTCAGTCAGTGAGTTTGTGAGGCAACAGGACATTAAAAACCACGACTGTATGCAGGCTGAACAGTTCTTAAAATCTTCTCGTGTTTCAGTGAAGATCAGTTGCGCATCAGCAGCAAAGATAAAAGGCGGTGTCGCCCCGGTAAGCAGCATTTAAAGATAATACTGTGCTTAACCTGGAGACCTAATGTCAGGTGCTGAACGCTCAAGCAGGAAAAGCTCGGAGGTTTCCGCCTCAAAAGAATGAAGTTAATTAGTGTTTTCAGTGCATCGGAGTACTAAACCTCACTCTCAAGCATTGACTATTAAATAATGGGACTTCATATTTTGCAGGGCACCAAAATGCCCAGCCTTAAAAATAATAGCACAAATAAATTACATTTTATAATTTTAAGTTCCTCTATTACCAGCTGGATCTATTAATGTCCCATTTTTGCAATATTTTGTTCATGTTTTGGATCTGTGGTGTCAAACTCACTTACAAAATGGGGCCAAAATTAAGACCTTTTTTAAACTAAGGGCTAATTTCAGAATCTACATGAACTCAAGTTAGATATCCGACATATTTTCTTGGTTGCAGGTTCCTACCAAAAGAGTTTGATTGGTCTCATTTGACGTTCTCAGTAGCACTTTTGACATCATAATCAAAGATCGCTGATAAAAATCCAAGTGAAAAAAGTATTTTATGTTTCACATATCATCTTGGGGACCAGATAAGGCGTCACCGAGGGCCACATTTGGCCCACGGGCCTTGAGTTTGACATATGTGATTTAGGCCCATATTTGCAAGGTATTTTCTTTGCGCTGTTAATGTTTATTTATGTCTATGTTTAACCGCTATGTTTTATTGTGTTCCTTATCTATCTTTCTATTTGTCTTAATTAGTTTATAACCCTAATGTCTCTTTGTACACTGCTCTTTGAAAAAAAAAAAATGTTTTTTTAATCACTTAAATGTCAGTAAAGCAAACATCAGAAAAACATATTGTCTTGTCTTTTTTTTTTTTTCAAATGTGCTAAAGCAGTACTCATTTGTTTTATTTATTTATTTATTTTAGAGATCTTTACAAAGTTCAATTTGAAAACTGCACCACAGGGAGAAAAATTAAAAAATACTAAATAAAGCAGAATCCATCACTGATTCCATACAGAATATTCCTCCATTCAAGCCTGAAACACACGCCAGCGGGACATTGTGGGCAGGAATGTGCAAAAAACAGAAAACCCATAAGAGACAATAAGTTCTAATTTACATTTTTGCCTGGTCTTTATGAAGATTTTGTAAAATTGCTGATGAACATCACAGATGGGAAGATTTTTTCCCCTGTTCATGGTTCGAACACCCTCTAATGTTCATGCACTGAGTTCCTGTTTGGGGTTAGTATTTGTTTAATTAGTTTTAATTGCTAAATAAATTGTCTCTAGGTGTGAGTGAGAGTGTGAATGGTTGTTCGTCTCGATGTGTCCCTTTGATGGACGCCGCCTCTCACATTGTGACCCCTGTGACCCGAAAAGGAAGAAGCGGGTAAAGATAATAATGCATTTTATTTGATAGCGCCTTTCAAGAAACCCAAGGACACGTCACAATATTAAAAACACAAAACAAAACAATACAATATGACTTTAAAAACACTAAACCACGAAGAAAAATAACCAAAAAATGAAAGTGAGAAGGCTAACTTGAACAGATGAGTTTTGAGTTGTGTTTTTGAAGGGAGTCAATATTACGGATGTCTGGGGGAAGAGCATTCCAGAGTTGGGGAGCAGAGTGAGAAGAGGCTCTGTGTTCCATGGTGCTGAGGCGGACGAGAGGCACGTTGAGGTGGATGGAAGAGGAAGAAGGAAGGGAGCGTGAATGGGTGATAATGTGCAGGAGATCGGACGGATGGGGAGGGGCGAGGTTATGGATGGCCTTGAATGTGGATGGATGGATGGATGGATGGATGGATGGATGGATGGATGGAGCAAACCCACCTTGAAACGTACAACATCAACATGTCTCTGTCGCTTTCATCTCCAGGAAGCACTGCCACACTCTCACAGTCAAGGAAAGGAGGCAAACTCCGTGAAGCCAGCGAACATGTGAAACGGCACATTCATTCATCTTTCTTTGTACAGGTTAATCCCATTGAGCCTCGAGGACTCATTCACAAGAGAGACCTGATTTCAACAAAGAATGATGACAACAATGACAACAATAGACAATTATAAAAGAGGCATACAGATTTTTTTTAAAACAAATTAAAATAAAATGGCAACAAAAAAAAAAGTAGCAAAACAGCTAGATTATAAGGCAAATGCAAAAAACTAAAAACAGGAACATGTCTGCATTGGTCCTTGCCAGGAGTCCAACAGATTCTTAAAGCCACTTAGAGAGGTCAAGGTCGAGAGCTTCAAGGTCGGGAGCTTCAGGTCTTTTTGTAAGATATTCCAGGAAACAGGAGCGGAGTAGGAGAAGGTCCTTTCACCATGTTCAGTCCGCACTGAGGGAACACTGCATGTAATAATGTCCTGAGAGCGCACGCTGTAGCTGCACTCACGCAGAGACATGTAGGAGGAGATGTATGAAGGCAGCAGACCAAGAAGTGATTTAAAGATGAAAATGTACCAGTGAGAGAGTCTGCGTGAAGTTAATGATGACCAGTTAACCAGTGAATACAGGGTGCAGTGGTGGGTATGATAATCACAGCCAGTTATGAATCTTAGTGCACCATGATAGACAGCATCCAACATAACGCCGATCACGACTCAAACACACGCTCCACCCCCACGCAGAGAGTGACACGACTTCTGACCCCGGGGCCTAAACTTCCGTCTCTCACGCTGGCTTTGCCATGTTTAATCTGTGACGACACATGAGTGCACAGTGACAGGACGAGAGGTGTCACAGGAAACAGAGGACTTCCTGACGCTCTCTCAGACGCTGAGCGTTTACTTTTAGGCAGAATAAATAATTTCTCTTCGTCTGGGTTCGTGTCTCTGAGGGAACTTAAGATACATCAAGTACCACGTGATGAGTCAAACCATTAAAGTTGGGGAAAAAGACTTATAATGCTTCACAGAGTCCTTGACTAATAGGATTTATGACTTAAGGGTTTTGGACCTACAACACTTTGAGGGGCGAGGGTCAGCATGAATGTGAGAGAAATCCAACACAGATGATGAACAGTGGAATAACCATGTGTGCTGATAAAAATAATAAAAATAAAAAAAATCAGCAAGCGTTTACCTTTGTTGTATTATTTGTCAGAGTGCGATGAGACAAAACTCACGACGGTTAGTTCGTGAGTCGGTGCGGATCATTCCTGAGCGAGTCCGTTTTTCACCAGTTGATCTGATGGGGGGGGGGGGTGTGGTGTTTGTTTCCACCTGCAGGATTGAGGGCTTCTAGAGACCTAACAGGGGGGTCCAAACTCCTGGTTATGTGGGAGTCGGGTGAGAGGGGGTTGGGGATCAACTCTGCTCAGGTCAGCTCACTGATCTGCACAGGAAATGCTGGGCATGGGAACCCATGAGGGAGTCCAAGGGAGCAGGTTTGTAGGTTTAAAACACCACACAGAGCAGGTGATCAAAGTGATTGATAAACAGCAGTACATGTTTGACTAAACTCCTGTGGGCTTTACTGTTAACACATGAACAATGACTGTCCAAACACCAATACTTTGATGCTGAGCCTAGAATGACCAGGAGTAAAGATTGGTTCAGGAGTTCAAAGGTGTTTGCTCAGCTTTCGATCACACTTTTTCACAGAAAAAGACCAACAGTAGGGTCAAGTTAACAACCTGACTCAGGGAAAGTGCTGTGCTGCTTTAGTTTCATAAAGCAGTCATTAGACCTAACTCCACATCTGATTAACTTTTGGAGTCAATCTAACTCAAAGTGGTTGCCACAGCTAATTAACTTTAGGAAAAATTTGTTGCATTGCAGCCAATTTTGCAGATATTAAGCTAAAATTTAGTGTGGTAGTAGCTGAGAGTGATTCTCAAAATAAACGTCAGGCTGCAACATGTTATGCACAATTTCGCAACATCATTGTGTATAATCTGATTTTCAAGATTTGACCCCAAAGCCTAAAATTCTATCACTTTTCAATATACCTTGATTTTTATTGATATTTAAAACTTTTGAAGTGAAGTTAAAAAAAGAGCATTTTTCAAAAAATTATTTTTTTGGCACTCTGGCTGCAAGGAGCGCTGACATCAATTTTAACACTTGTGTTTTTTTTAAGAACAAGACAAAACGTCAGTTTTAGCCATGTCACAAATGCATTTTGAGTTACTGATAATTAAAAATAAATAGTAAAATACAGCGATTGTACACACAACCAGTAAAGAGACTGAAATTAGACAAAAAAAAAAAAGGCTCAAATGACTGACATGCAAAGCACTGACAATGAGCATAAAACTATAAACTATTAGTCTCAAGAGACAAAAATTGACCAATTGAGACAGAAAACAGCATTTGTAGACACCCCAAAACAAACAAAAAAAAACACAGTGGGAAATGACACACATAGATGCAAAAAGAAAATTAAATTGTGACACCAAAAGAAGTAGAATTACTAAAAACGGAACTACTATGACAAAAAAAAAAAAAAAAGACAGACTCATCGTGAGAAAAACAAGTACAACATCGCCCCCATGTGGTCATAATAAATCATTACAGCTGCTGCACATCCTGACCGCCAGGTGTCGCTGTGGAATATTCAGGACCTGAAATCGCGTGAACGGCTTCCTGAGTATTTTAGTTTCTGCTTGTCACCGCGGCGTGTAAACACCTACACACGGAACTGAGCCCATCACAAACTTATTTTTTTTTTAAATATTTTATTAAGGTGACTGGGAAGGCTTGCGTGGTCCTCACGTTACAAGAAGTCTAAAAAGAAAGGGTTGCTTCATTGTGAGGACGGAGCGTTCCATCACGACCATGGCAGAGGCGACCGTGGACCGGGGCTGGGAGGACTCCCAGCTCCGACAGTACTCCTTCCCCATCAAACCCATTCCCAGGCTTTCCCACACGGACCCCAGGGCAGAGATGCTGATAAACAACGAGGTAACAGCTGCAGAGTTCACTTGCTGCAACTTTTTTTTTTTAAGCAGGTCGTATAAAAGTGGAGCTAACATTTTTAATGCACGTTTACATGAAGCTCGTGTGCAACTTAAAAAAAACAGAACCCTGACTTGACTCATTTGGCTCATACTATTTATATTAAAAAAAAGTTTACATAAAGCAGGTAGTGTGGTATCTGAATGCAATTTCCTGCTTGTATCCTTAATTGGACCAGAAGATCAGTAAATACTTTTCACACCAGCAATCAAAATGCCACTTTATGAAACAAACCTCATACATTTTTGTCTGTTTTACCATAAAAACAGTGCACACCTGTGACATATTGACAATGTTTAGCCTCTTTATTTACACGTCTGCATTGCTGCTTGAAACTACATCCAAATCACTCGCTTGAGACAATGTGGTCTTGAAACAAGTCTTAATGTAGGTACAGTTGAAAACATTTAGCTTGGATGCAATGTGGTTAGACATTGCATTCACAACTATAAACCATCTGTCCAGATGTTTGCTCTATAATCCAGGTAGATAAATCTTAACAAGGCAGGTCGGATTCTTCTTGTTTGAAAACGTTTCAGAAAAAGAACCCGTCCAGATGACCCGACTTAACCTTGTTAACTATAAACCATTTGGTCGTTTTTTAATGTTTGTTGTGTTTTAACCTGACCATACAATTGACCTTTCCTGTATTTGCAGTTTAATTGTGGAGAAGATTTATCGATTAAATCTTTTTCGAACCCATATTAAGGAAAACCTATTTTGTAGCATGACAAATTCTCTACTCCGCATCAAATCCTCACAGTGGACCATACTCTGAACCTACTTGCGTCTCCTGAGGATTGTTTTACAAGAATAGAAAGATGACCTTCAAGTCACACACAAGTGAAGCTGAAGTGCTTAGTTTGAGCCTTTCCAGTGTTTTTCTGCAGCAAAGGTGGCGTTCGTTTTTAATAAATCCATGCTGTGAAAATGACCATTTTTAGATGGTTTATTTCCTTAAACTAATACTTCAGTTAGACAAAAAAACAAGTAACAAATAAGTGCTTTGAATGATTGTCTGGATGGGACGTAGACTTCAAAGATCAAAACATGTAAGAAATGTTGCTCCAATTTATAATTTATAGCAAGGTAGAAGTGAATGCTATTAGCATAACATCTGCTAGGAAGTCTTCAGTTATGCTGAACTTGAAACTACAAACAATGTGAATAAATACAAAACGTTTACTGTTATGCTAACAGCGATAGCACCGTTAGTGAACTTTTAGTGTCCAACATTCCTTATTGGTAGAACTTGTAAATATACAAACTTGAACACGGATCAAAACACCAGAAATGGCACTTTTAAAACGCTCCCTTTTTTTTTTTTTTTTTCTTTTTGTCTCAACCGCAGAGTCCAGCGTCCTCCCGGTGAAAGTGAAAGCGAGAAGCCGGGCAGCGAGAGCGCGCCCAGCGGGCCACGTTCTGTTAGTCACGTAGGCCCTCGGAGCTCAGTGTGTGTTGCCATGGTTACAGCATGTTTGTGCTGCACGTGCCGTGCCGGTGTTGTGCCAGGGTAGTAATGCCCGTTAGGATACGCGTCCTCGGTGTCGAGAGCGCGCACAAATTCATCACAACACAGATTTCACCCAAATCTGTTTTATTTGAACTATTGAGCTAAAAAAAAAGAAAGAAAAAGAAGTAAAGCTATATATTTTTTTAATCTTACCATTTTGTAAATTTAGTAAAGAAAGATGAAACGTCTCAAAATGTGAGCTTTTTTTTTTTCTTTTGCGAATATTCACAATGGTGGTTGCCTGAATTTTTACTTTTTAATTACAATTTAAACCTTGTATTATAATAACAAACTGTTATGTAGTAGAGCAAACCCTGCATTTATAAGAGTGGCCTTTAAACTATCACACACCAATAAGCAGCAGCTTTTGTTTTATATCTTTATCTTCAATTCAACCTTTATTTATACAAGTTAGTCTCACTGAGCCTCGAGGACTCATTTACAAGAGAGGCCTGTTTTTAACAAAGAATGATGACAACAATAGATAACAATAGACGTTCTTAAAATAACACATATAAACTGAAAAAAAGAGAACAATAAATGGAATGAAATTGTTAAAAAACAAACAAAAAAAAACCCAGCTACATTATAAGGCAATATAAAATGCTATATATAGAATAGATACACTATCTTGAAATGTTTGTCTGTTTTCAGGAACCGGTGGTTTTAACAGACACAAACCTCGTATATCCAGCTCTCAAGTGGGACATCCCGTACCTCCTGGAGAACATTGGGAATGGAGATTTCTCCGTTTACACTTCAGAAAACCACAAATTCCTCTATTATGATGAGAAGAAAATGTCCAGCTTTGAGAACTTTGTTCCCAAGTCTCGACGGATGGAAATGAAATTCTCTGAATTTGTGGATAAAATGCATCAAACGGAGGAAATGGGAGGACAGGAGAGGTAAGGACCGAGGAATGTGGAGAAAGCCCTGCGCCTCTGTTGATGTTCAGGTTGATTAGAACTTGTAAAGGTGTAAGGTGATGCAGCTTGACTAAGCATATATTAAAATAGTCAGAGAAGTCTATTTATGTGGCCTAGCTTGATCTGAAAACGGAGACCAGTTACCAAAGACATCTCACTGTTTGACTTGTAGACCCCCCCCCCCAGTGGCTCATAGCTTTTTTTTATTTACTCTGTTACTTCAAATTTTATTTATAAACTACCAACTAATCAAAGTGTTTCCCTGCCAACTCATTCAGCCCTGAGTTTGTGACATGGCGTCACTCATTTAATCTCTTTTCTCGCTCACGTTAAGAGTCTATTTGCAGCAGACACTGAATGACACAGTAGGAAAGAAGATTGTTGTTGATTTTCTTGGTTTTAACTGGAACTGGATCAACAAGCAGCAAGCCAAGAGAAACTGGGGACCGCTGACATCTAACCTGCTGCTTGTAGGCATGGAGGGTGAGGTTCTCACACCGCCTGTGCCGTTTCTGAACTCGAGATGTTTTTCCTTTCATTGATTTGACCATGTTTTTTTTTATTTTTAAAAAACCTTTCAGGCAATGTGACACCAGCACATTATGATGAGCAGCAGAACTTTTTTGCACAGATTAAAGGTCATAAAAGATGCATCCTTTTCCCTCCAGACCAGTTTGAGTGTCTCTATCCGTACCCCGTCCATCACCCCTGTGACCGACAGAGCCAAGTAAGTTGTGTAGATTCACAGCCAGGTATCATGGTGAAAACTTTACACTTGTCATAGATTATTATTAGAAAGGCATTTTATTCAGATTAGGTAAAGTTTTCTTTTTTTATATATATACACATTGAGATGAGAGATATGACATTTTCACTGACTGTTCATTTTCTTTATTCATAGGTTGATTTTGATAACCCTAACTATGAGAAATTCCCAAATTGTAAAAATATTGTTGGTTATGAAGCTGTTGTGGGACCTGGAGATGTTCTATACATCCCTATGTATTGGTAAGAAACACATCTTTATAGTCTTTAAAAATCATGCAACATTATTAACTTTAAAGATGTTTTTTTTTTTTTCTTTTAAACTGAGTTCCTGGAAAATTCACGTGCTGTTTTGTTATGTGGTCTGCATTTCATTTGGAAGTTTTTCATGAACAAGTGACGTTTCTGTAGATTGGACAGATGCTACAAAACAGATCAGACATGCTGTTTTTGACTCCATACTAAAATTACTCGTTGTTTATGTCAAAGTTTCTTTATTTGTCGTTTCACCACATGTGGTGGAACAAAATTGTGTACACAGGTTCCCAGTTACTTCCAACAAAAGTATAAATTGTAAAGAAAAACGGTAATAAGATCTAAGCTATGAACTAAGAAATACGGCTAAACTAAGAACACACTAAGCACTAATGTACAAAAACAATACGCTGAACAACAGCAGCACGGACATGAGTCCGTGTGAGCAGATGAGCACAAATGAACACAGCAGCATGAAATAAATCAGCAGCATAATATCAGCAACATGGATAATCAGCAGCACATAAACAATCAAGTGGCATTACAGTGATTTTTTTTCACAGTGATTATTCTAGTTAGAGATTCATGAGTCTTAACAGCCTCAGGGTAGAAGTTGTTCTTCAGTCTAGTTGTTCTACACTCGATGCTCCTCAACCTCCTGACTGAGGGAAGCGTGGCAAAAAGTGTGTGTGCTGGGTGAGTGGGGTCCTTCATGATGCAGGTGGCCCTCTTCCTGCATCTGAAGGTGTAGATGTCTGTGATGGTGGGGAGTCTGACTCCAACAGTCTTCTGTGCAGCCTTCACCACTCTCTGCAAAGCTTTTCTTTCTGCAGCTGTGCAGCCTCCATGCCACACGTTGATGCTGGAGCACAGGATGCTCTCCACTGCACACCTGTAGAAGGAGGTGAGGACTGAGCTTCCCAGTCCAGTTCACCTCAGCCGTCTGAGGAAGTAGCGTCTCTGATGAGCTTTCTTGATCAGGCTGGTGGTGTTGTTGCCCCCAGCTGAGGTTGTCATTCAGGTGCACACTCAAGTACTTGTAGCTGGAGATCACTTCCACCGTAGCTCCTCCTATATTCGGGGGGGGGGGGGGGGGGTGTGTGTCTGAAGTCCATGACCATCTCCTTCATCTTCTTCACATTGATGTGAAGGTTGTTCTTCCTGCACCAGCTCTCCAGGTGTTCCACCTCCTGCCTGTAGCTGGACTCATTGTGTGTGATGCAACTACTGCTGTATCATCTGCAAACTTTACAATATGACATCCTGGATGGGTATGTGCACAGTCATATGTGAACAGGAGGGGGCTCAGCACACAGCCCTGAGGGGAGCCAGTGCTGAGGGTTATGGTGGAGAAGTTGTGGATTCTCACTGACTGCGGTCTGTTTGTTAAGAAGTCCAGGACCCAGTTGCAAATGGAGGGGCTTAGTCCTAGTGGGAGTAGTTTGTCCATCAGGGTTTGGGGGATCATGTGATTTAAATGTGATTTATTTGTTTAAATAAAGATTGAATGAATGAATGGTGTTGAAAGCAGAATTGAAGTCAACAAAGAGCTTATGGACGTAGTCATTTATAGATGTTTTTTCCCTCTTTCAGGTGGCATCACATTGAATCTTTATTGGGCGGAGGAGTAACGATCACTGTAAACTTCTGGTACAAAGTATGAATATTTGATTCCCGTCAACTCTTTCCTACGACTTATTTGGTATCCTTTTCGTCTACATTTCTTCATAACTTTTGTGATTCTTGTTTAGGGAGCTCCCACGCCTAAGAGGATAGAATACCCACTGCGAGCTCACCAGAAGGTTGCCATCATGAGGAATATTGAAAAGATGCTGGGAGAAGCACTTGGAGACCCACATGAGGTAAAAGCACGTCATTTTTACACAGTTTTCCCCTCATCACAGACAGATGCTGAGCTCTACTGCTATCATTGGTGTTCTGTTTGCACATGAATGTCACACTGCCCGTTTCTAGGACATTCATAGGATCTACATTTAGGTCACTTACTATGAAAGCTCTGGGGCATGCTGACCCCCTAAGCAACCCAGTTACTGATAATATACACGGCTTACTTGGTTTCGTACAAAAGAAAGACGTACAGCATGCTGTTCAAGACGGTGCGTAATAATGTAGCATGCCCCACTTTATAAAGTTTCTCATCCTGTTTTTTTTTTTTTTTTTAATATATTTTCTGTAGGTTGGACCTTTACTAAAAACCATGATCAAAGGAAGATATGACCAGGATCACAGTTAGAACTCGAGCTTTTTGACTATTAAATAGACTGCTCTGGAAACTGTTGGCATGTGAAAGTTGCATTGCGGTGTGTGATGGAGAGATCGATTAATGTGCTTTCTGTCGTTGGAGCTAAGCATCGTTGCATGGCAATAAACAGTCACTGAAACGATTCTGTTTCAGTCTCCCAAGTGCAACTACAACAACTAAAGAAGAAACAACAACAATTACTGGGATTTCGACCAACCAATTTGAAGAAGTTGATCTTTTGTCTTTGGGAAGAAGACCTGTAGGCTGGTTTGTGTCCATCAGTCTAAAAGGTCAAACATTATTGTGAATTAGCACCTTTGAGGCAACCTCAGTGTTTTTATCACTTATAGATGAGTCTAGAGTAAAACTGTGTTTTCGTCACTTCCTTTACACAAGGAATTACAGTTTCAAATTATTTTCAGACGCTTCACAACTGAGCTTCTACATCTTCTTTGTGCTTTCTGTTGTGATGTATAGCCATGTATCAGTACAATTTATTTGATTTAAAGACATTCAAACCACAGTTACTGTTATAATGAACAATAACAAATGTATGGATGTGGAAAAAAAGGGGTATAGCTGAAGAAATGTGTACCAGTGTCCCAAGTATTTGTCTGATTTGCGTTTTCTAAATATTTTTTTCTTGTTTGATTTTGTATTTCAAGGGCTTTTTAAGGATTTGCTGCCAAGCACTCTGGTAACAGCAGGAGGAGTTCTGAACATCTTATTGCAGCTAAAGCTGCAAATAAAACTTTACTATAGGAATTTAAAACAAGCAAGACTTTTTTTTTGGGGTGGGGGTGGGGGTGGGGGGGGCATGTCAGAAATTACAGTTGTTTTTTTCTAGGCCAATAAACCAGTTAGGCTTATGTGTGTATTTGAAGTTAAATGCACAAATGATGCGTTTAAATGCTCTTAACTGACTGCCACCATTAAGCTATTGCACTATTGCAGTATACGGCGCCATCTAGTGGTCAGAGTTGTGGTTTCCTGGTAAGCTTGATCACTGTCATATCTTTCAGCATGTGTTAAATGCAGCAGATCAAATATTAAATTATGTACAAAGTGTACAAAAACCCTACTTAAGTTGAAAAGCCCCATTAATGACACCAGTAGGATGTGTCATCTGGGATGCACTTATTTTTATTCTCTTAAAACAATACACTGATGAGCCACTTTAAACCCAGCTGGTGACTTCAACAGATGACCGGTTGCGAGGTTTTTTCACCAGAACGGTGTCCTTGAGCAATGTCGTTCACTTTACATGCTGCTGGTTTTAATAACGCGGCTGATCGGTGTGTATCACACAAATAAAGGTGATGATTTCATGTATTGTGCTGTACGTGCCAAACCAACCCTGAAGCCAGTAGATAGGAGTCTTCACGCTCAGAAACATTAGCTGTGATGTTAGTCACAACGGCTCACAATGAATGGATTTGTTAAATCACTCATGATGTGCATGTGTTCCTGAACTGTTCGCACAATAATCAAAAGTTTTAATCCATGTGTAAAACCAATTCACCCACGTATTCTATTTCTAGGAAGTTGTTTACTATATGTGCCTTGCCTGATGTTGGCATGGTAGTATAAGTAATAGGAAGTTTATTTTTAACTTTTCTATTTTTTGGTGAATGTGTTTGTTTTCACACTGGCATTAAACAGCTTTAAAAGAGAGATCTTTATGTATTACTTGAATCCTGTGGTCTTCTTGTGCTGATGAACATTTTGGTTAGGAAAGGGGTAAAATGTTACACCCTGATTTTTCTAAAAATTAGTTTTTTATGCAACTATCAGACAATAAAAACAACAGCATATATAGTGTACAAAAATTAGCATTTACTATAAATTGTGTCAGTAGGTTCTTAAAGCCATGATTTAAAAGTCCACTCCATGTTCTACAGTGACACCATATTATATACAGTGCCTTGCGAAAGTATTCGGCCCCCTTAAACTTTTCAACCTTTTGCCACATTTCAAGTTTCAAACAAAGATATAAAATTTTATTTTTTTGTGAAGAATCAACAACAAATGGGACACAATTGTGAAGTAGAATGAAATTTATTGGATGTGTCAAACTTTTTTAACAAATAACCTGAAAAGTGGGGCGTGCAATATTATTCGGCCCCCTTGCGTTAATACTTTGTAGCGCCGCCTTTTGCTGCAGTTCCAGCTGCAAGTCTCTTGGGGTTTGTCTCTATCAGTTTTGCACATGGAGAGACTGAAATTTTTGCCCATTCTTCTTTGCAAAACAGCTCGAGCTCAGTGAGGTTGGATGGAGAGCGTTTGTGAACAGCAGTCTTCAGCTCTTTCCACAGATTCTCGATTGGATTCAGGTCTGGACTTTGACTTGGCCATTCCAACACCTGGATATGTTTATTTGTGAACCATTCCATTGTAGATTTGGCTTTATGTTTTGGATCATTGTCTTGTTGGAAGATAAATCTCCATCCCAGTCTCAGGTCTCTTGCAGACTCAAACAGGTTTTCTTCCAGAATGGTCCTGTATTTGGCCCCATCCATCTTCCCATCAATTCTGACCATCTTCCCTGTCCCTGCTGACGAAAAGCAGGCCCAAACCATGATGCTGCCACCACCTTGTTTGACAGTGGGGATGGTGTGTTCAGGGTGATGAGCTGTGTTGCTTTTACGTCAAACATATCGTTTTGCATTGTGGCCAAACAGTTGGATTTTGGTTTCATGTGACCAGAGCACCTTCTTCCACATGTTTGGTGTCTCCCAGGTGCTTGGGGCAAACTTTAAACGACACTTTTTATGGATATCTTTGAGAAATGGCTTTCTTCTTGCCACTCTTCCATAAAGGCCAGATTTTGTGCAGTGTACGACTGATTGTGGTCCTATGGACAGACTCTCCCACCTCAGCTGTAGATCTCTGCAGTTCATCCAGAGTGATCATGGACCTCTTGGCTGCATCTCTGATCAGTCTTCTCCTTGTTCGAGATGAAAGTTTAGAGGGACGGCCGGGTCTTGGTAGATTTGCAGTGGTCTGATACTCCTTCCATTTCAATATGATTGCTTGCACAGTGCTCCTTGGGATGTTTAAAGCTTGGGAAATCTTTTTGTATCCAAATCCGGCTTTAAACTTCTCCACAACAGTATCTCGGACCTGCCTGGTGAGTTCCTTGGTCTTCATGATGCTCTCTGCACTTTGAACAGAATCCTGAGACTATCACAGAGCAGGTGCATTTATACAGAGACTTGATTACACACAGGTGGATTCTATTTATCATCATCAGTCATTAGGGACAACATTGGATCATTCATAGATCCTCACTGAACTTCTGGAGTGTTTGCTGCACTGAAAGTAAAGGGGCCCAATAATATTGCATGCCCCACTTTTCAGTTTTTTGTTTGTTAAAGTTTGACACATCCAATAAATTTCATTCCACTTCACGATTGTGTCCCACTTGTTGTTGATTCTTCACAAAAAATTTAAATTGTATATCTTCATGTTTGAAGCCTGAAATGTGGCAAAAGGTTGAAAAGTTCAAGGGGGCCGAATACTTTAGCAAGGCACTGTAGAATAAAAATAACATTGCTGCTTATAATCGTAACAACCAAATCTCAACACTCATTTGGTTTATACTGCAGTCCTGAAAACATACCACTCATTTAAAACGATATAAATTACACAGAATAGATCTAGAATACAGTAAACCTTAAATCTTGGGTGGGGTGGAGAGAAACATATTTGTCCTAATATACAAGAACTTATGAACCCAGTCAAAGTTTCACTACAGTCACAAGAAAAGAAACAAATAACATGAATCTGAGAGAATCACTGACCCCCAGGGGTCCAGGGACCCCAGTTTCAGAACCACTGCTTTAGAGAATATAATGAAAACTAACTAAACAAAATATTCTATACATTTTTTTAAATAATAGAGTTAATACACACTAAAATCACTGTTGAATAATGTTTACTAAAGGGAACAAACTGCTGATGGCATGAGTAAAAAGTACTTCTCAGTTTTTGCTTGGTGCTGTTTTAGATGCTCACAGAACACACACCCATTTGTTTTACTTTGTATTACACTAAATGTTTTCAGTGGTTTCAGAAAAAATGTGACACATTTCTGGATCATCTTTATAAGTGCCTTTTCTCTTTGACTATTAGAGACTGAATTTATATTTGTGCATACACATCAGTAACTTCTTAGTCTAGTCCTGTAGGCTTTATGCAGATAAATGCATCAGAAGAAACAAAAGTAAATTTCCATATGTGCCCATGAACTAGACATGTATACTTTGGAAAATGGGTATCAAACCACCAACATTTGTCTGATGACCACTTTTTGTTTAGCTATAATTCAATTCAGTTTATTTATCTAGCACCAAGTCACAACAGAAGTCATCTCAGGGCACAGAACAGAAACATTCATATATAAAAATAATAATTTAACATTATTTATCGGAGGAGCAGACTGCTTTGAGTTTAACTCCATAGCAGAATATATAGCAACCCTTAATTCAAATTATTAAATTCAAATAATTCTAATTCTATAGCGACCCTTAATTCAGGGCCACCGTTTAGCAATATTCAGATCCTACTACTTTTCCTCCAGTGTTCAGATGCTGGAGTTTTGAGCTGGGCTGCTAATAAAGGAACAATGATCAATCCATCCATCCATTATCTTTACCCGTTCTTCCTTTTTGGGTCGCCAGCAATCACTGTGCGAGAGGCAGGGACACACTGGACAGGTCTCCAGTCCATCACAGGGACACACAGAGACAACCAGTCTCACTCTCACTCACACCTAGGGACAATTTAGAGCTACCAATCAGCCTAACATGCATGTTTTTGGTCTGTGGGAGGAAACCGGAGTACCCTGAGAAAACCAACGCATGCATGGAGAAGACATGCAAACTCCACCCAGAAAGGCCCATGGACCAGCATTTGAACTGGTCGCCACCGTGCTAACAACGATCAGTGATTTCACAAATGGAAAAATAATAACGTAACTTATTATTTCTGATTAAATCTATGGTTTAACTCACAAACCAACCATTGATTTGAAGTTTTCATTTAAACTTTACATGACAATCCAAC